CTTAAGGCAAAAATTCTATATAATGCAAAACTTCCGTCCTTCACAAAAGCCGAACCGTAGTCTCCCGCACATGAAGCGTCACGCTTACCACCACACCAAGCTGCCGTTGGGAAGCAAGGCGCATCCATGTAATTTAAGTTTTCTTATGTTAAGCTCCCTGAAACCATCCTCATAACTCCGTTCACAGAAACGCTCGGCAAATTTGGAAAGCAGATTTGAACTCGGCATCCAAAAACACGTCCAGCAGTGTAGGTCTCATTTCAAATGGCCACTTCAACTTGAGATCCTTCCCTGGTTAGAGAAGGACATTAAAATTCCATAATTCCATTGTTAACAGAAGTGCGTTACAGATCTAGTGGCTCTCGCCTTCTATGGTTTCTTATCAGCCCCTATCGCTTGCTATCATTCCCTGTCATCAATCATTAACGGTTCCATCACATTTGTTCTCGCTTCCTATTACATAGCATCAGTGTAGCTCTTCTCTCTCCCAAATTTGAACGCCTTAGCTACGGTGGGACAGGAGTTATGAATTTCCGTTCGGACAAACACCCACACATACACACACAAACACACCAACAGACACACTTAGCCGATCGATAAGTAGGATGTTTGCGAACTCAAAAAAGTTACGTCTTTTCTTGAGGCGATCATCCTCTCGCAATGAATCGGTACCGTAGTCCGATATTTTAACTTGCCAGCTGTCAGTCACCAAACAACAGTTTGAAGAGAGACGACCGTGACAACCAATAATCGAGTTTTGTAGGAATCGAATACCCTATAACGGTAATATGTAGGGCATCTTGGCGCGATGCCTAAATGAAGTGATTTACCTCTGCTATATCCCTCATTATACACAGCATGAAAAACGGATCAAACCACAATGAGCCTTTCGAGATAAGGTCCTGCAACAGTGACCAAACTCATTATAAATTTCAAAAACTTGACCTGGAACAGTAATTCTACATGTTGACCAAAAAAGAAATGGCTTGTTCCCGACATCATACCTGTAGAGTACCCCTGGAACACATCCGCCAAATAGCTATATATTCGGAGCCATCAATCGAAAGCCCAATAAATCGATTGACATTATCATGATCCAATTTCCTCATCTGAATTTGATACATTCCATTCAGTTTACTTTATTGCTGAGAATGGGAAAAACATAAATAAGGAAGAAGAAGGCATGATGGTGTTCCAAATTTCAGCTCATACCGGGTGAGAATAACCAATTAATATTCGGTTAAGGTCTCAGATGTTAGAACTAAAAAAGTTTTCTACCAAATTCAAATCACCGGTACTGCCCAAAGCAGCCGACGCCGACATTGAGCCGCTCACCATTTCGGATATAAGTTCCACTTGGGCCTGAAGGGTGTTGTTTCTCTATACTCCATAAGTCGGATCACGTGGCTGACACAACTCGTCACGCGCTCCTTCTTTTCGTTTGAAAGTGGCCTGTGGATCGCGTCCCTTCCAAATTTGGACACACTGGTTAAGCAGAAAAGGAAGTACAAATTCCATTTGAACACACACATTTATCCAACACACTTCGCGAGCAACTCGCCCATCACGAGCGGTGTTCTGCTCAACCCATTCGCGTACAGGCGACTTTGTTCATTCCCTCTTCGTTAAAAATGGCATGCCTCGCCTTCTGTGGGCCCAGCCACCTCTCATAAATGTGCCCAAAATGCCTTCTGTACTCCTTCCTACTGTCGACTTTCTAGGTATATGTGAGCAGAAGTTACACACACTCACGCACGCGCATATACACACACGCATACACAAAGGCATAAACACAAACACAGTCAGCCGTTATACATAGTAGAATGATTCTGCTGCGGTCCTCGTCTCGACCTTCAATAGGTCCTAAATAAGTTTTTGTGACCCAAACCACATGACAATACTAACAAAAGGCTTAACTAAGCACTGGATGAAGGAATTTTTATTCAACGCATGACAAAGAGTTTTCAGTTGGACTGCCATACCAGATCTCATGCTATCATTGGTTCAGATGTGATGGGCTTGCACAACTGGCACTTAGTCTTGTGCAACTGACTGAGTAGTTTTCGGGGGGAGGCGGTCGTTTGGCGCGGCCCTTCGCACCCAACTTGCCATTGGGGCAATTAGGCTCATAATTGCCTTCTTGCCGCCGCCCATTGGAC